CGGCGGACTTTATGTTCTTATTACATCTATTAGAACTGTTTAATAAAGGCTAAATAAATCAAACACCATGGATTGTGTAAAATTTTGAGAATACCGAACATGAAAACATGAATATACACATGTATGTGACTTCACTTCTGCATATACTTCACAGCATTTAAAGCGATTCCGTGGTCTAGTGGATATGTCTCTCGCTTCAAAGGTGAAAGGTCCCGGGATCGAATCTGCGTCGAACCTTTCTTTTTTTTTTCCTTTTTTTTTTTTTTCTAAATGATAGTATTCAGCATGCGAAATGAAAAATTTATGAGGTTATAAAGTCATCATTACAGTGTGATTAAAATTCCATATTAAAAAAATCTTCTATACACATAATGAATAATAAGCAATCAAATCTTTATATGTATATTGACATACATGTATTTTATTTGCTTCAGTATACATGTATACATTTAATAATTCTACAAATTCAGTCAGGGGGAGCCGACTTTTTCCCCAAGCGGGGGACACGAATTCTCTGAATTAGCTTGTTCTAATATCACTTTGCAGAGATAGAATACGAGGGGTGATCAAAGAGTTAGAACAATTCAGACCAGAATATTATTTGGCACATATAGTCATACACATGTTCTATAAATAGCATATGATAAGTTATGTTTTGCTTTATGATTGAGATGTCACATTGTGAAAATGACCTTAATTTGTAGGTTACTTGTGACAAAAATTGGTCGACCCAGTCTTATTGAAATTCTTTTGCAGTAGCATATAAGAAATTGTACAAGGTTTATGAAAGTAAAAGACTTTACAAGATTTCAATCATTAATTTGATAAATTACTTTCGTGAAGAAAGGGAAATGGTCAAAAGTGAGCTTTGTTATGTTGCCTAGCGAAAGCAGTCTGTAGAAGAGATGTGTCCTTTGTTGAGCAATTTGTTATGAAAGGTCGCCAAAATATAGCTAGAAATAAAGAACAGTTTTTACAATTATACAATAACTGTAGAGATCACTAAATCTTTGCGACACCTTATATTCGTGAGATATTCCTTTGAAATTCTAAATTATCTTAATGAATACTTATATATACGCGAGAATGAAATTTTCACGAGCATATTGTCTCGCATAATTACGCAAAAATATAGTTCTCGCGAATAAAGAGTGATTTACAGTATTAAATCCCTAAAATATAGTATAATTTAGACTTAAACATATCATATATGATTGAAAGAAGGCGCTCATTGTATATCCATATTGGATAAACGACGTTCCTAAGCTTAAGACAGAGGTCGCAGGTTGTGATGATCATCATGCACATTCTGGGAAGGATATCCTTACCCACCCATCCTTTTTCCAAGATCAGGCTATTTCTGACAATTTATGTTCTTTCTTGTTTTACAAAAGTAAATGGGATTGTAAGAAATAAAAGACCAATATACATAATATTTTACACTATACTATACATAATAATGTAGTCTTTGGAAACCAAGTTTTCCAACAAACGTCTGGAATTAAAGATTAAAGAATTAAGGTCACTAATTTTGCTCCTTTCTTAGATGAACTGTTTTCATATTCCTAGGAAGCAGAAGTTATTTCAAAAACTGTTAGAGAAGGGGAAACACTTGCTTTTGTGTTTGATTCAACATTCAGATATATCGGTGATGTTTTATCAATTACAAATACAATGTTATTTAAATATATCGACTTGATACATGTACATATATATCCCAAATGAACTTGAAGTAAAAGACACCACAGATTCTGCCACTTCGATTTCATATTAAGATGTCTTACTGACGATACACAATAAGGGCAAACTATCAAATGAATTGTATGACAAACGATATGACTTTAGCTTATCTATCGTCAACTTTCTTTATTGATGTAGTAATATTTTACTTTCAACCGTTTAAGGTGTTTATTTCTCCCAACTCATTTGCTGCTAAATACCTTGTTCTGAGTACTATCAATTTTAAAAGGAGGCATGCTACAAGGATTTTAACAACCTCATGTAAAGCCAGCATTTCTTAATTCTATGGTCATTGTAATATCCTTGTTAGCAAATATCGACTACTAGTATCAGAGAGTTGTATGTTGGCCGGCCTGATTCGTACTGCATGTTAACATTTCTTTACAAGATTAATCTATGCAATGTATTCTTGATCTATTTATTCCGGCGGGTGTGACCACTCAACAGGGGATGCAAACTCCTCCTAGGCACCTGATCCCAATTCTGGAATTACCATGTGTCCGTGGTTTATGCCCCCTTCACATATATTTTTTATTGCTTAAAGAATTTACTTTTAGACCGATCATTATCGTTATCTTCAGATTAACATTAATTGCTGCATTCGCTCCAGCCGCAAAGTATTTTCCTTCATAATTGATACTTTTTCATTCAAAAATTAAACATTATGAACTAAATATAATGCCCCTTTTTGGAATGAAAGTGACATTTATAAAATACGACTTATTAGATTTAGTGTTAGATGTGTACACAGGTAAAATTGCAAAGTATGTTCAACATATGGTTCTCAAAACATATGGTGAACATATCACACATTTACCTGTGTAGGAATTTGTACACGTAAATAACTGGTACTCAGAATTAAAACAGGTGATGGGAAAACTAAATATAAGAAATGCTAACTTGAACATTAGGTTAATGCATGAAAAAGAGATAAATCTAAATACAAATAATTTGATGACAACTTTATTGTTAAAGAAGTGCATCTTACTACAGGATAGAAATGCAGATATATATCAATGCATAGAAAATTGAATGTTGATGTTAATAATGATAACACAAAGAAATTCTAATCGTTCTAAGCTTTCTTTCACCATGAGGGTTTACCAAATAGGTTATTTATGAAAATTTGAAATTGTTATCTAAAGTTCTTGTTGGTAAAAAGAAATATCTGAGAGTACATATTGTTTTATTCACCAGTATTTTAAATAAACAATCATAATTTTTCATATTTAGAATCAAAAATTTAATTCAATTTCAGTAAATATACAATAAAAAACGTTATGAAAATCTAAATCCTCATAGTTAGATTATATTTTAGATATACACCGCACAAAACAATTTAAAATAACTATAATATACAGGACACCCATTAACCTAAGAAACTATCTTCGAAAAGTAAAAAATCAGTTCATTTATAAACATAGTGCTTTTATGTGCATTTAAAAGGCAAAGGCAAACTTCGTTATGTATTAACCTATAGAGCCAGAAGTGTTTATGTGTTGTTTTTACAAAAAAAAAGCTTGTCGATTTCAATTTTTGTCAGTTACTTAGTCTACATACATGTAGTAAATTAATTTTTTTCTCATAAATTATTTTATTTTAGTATGCAGAAAAAAGGGGAATCTTTTTCATTAGACCTTTACTTTTAAGTTTATGCATTCGACATATTTTGAGTTTGATATGTCAAATTGGTATTTGATAAATTTTCTTTTCTTTTCATCGTACAAAATGAAAATATCTACAACATTACTTGGTTTGTAATTCTTGATTATTTTCTAATTAACGTCAAATTGTAGCTATCTTAAGCACCAATAATATGAACAACACGTATACTTTCCATGCAGAGCAATAAGTAAAAAAAAATACAAGTAGTAGAGTCGAAATAAAGCAATGTGATGCAATGAATTAATTTCATTATAAGTAAGATATACTCAATAGAAATCTATCGCAACTTATTGCAGATAATAATGACTGTATCGAGTATCACCGGATGAATAATTCTTGTTCTCAAAGAAAGTGTGCTATACTTAGTTATAGTTCCGCTTGAATGTGTTTTAGTTCGATAAAATAGACAGTTTCCTCTTTCGTTCATGTCTTTTTTATATAAAGAATGGACATGCATAAAAGAAAGATAATTGAAGAAGAAAAATACAGATGATACATATGTACTATCAAAAGAAAAGCTTTTAAGAAGGCGAAGATTTAAAACATACAACTTTAAGATCGACCCAAGTGGATTCACATCAAAACTCTTAAAATATACATATAATACATATATAAAATATGGTGTTTAGAGTCAGCAGTATATCAAATTAAGCTTTTCTGACTGTAAAGAGATGCATATATATGCACCAGATTGTCAAAAAATTCTTTTCTGTAATTCAGAATCTAGGACAGAGACCCCTAAAAATTCCATCTTTAAATTTTCCAAAGATCACAGCCTATCAAAATATCATATTATTGTTTAGGGAAATATTTTCCCTGAAGTACGTTTAGGCCAACTTCATGCAAATTCAGTGCTTTAGAAAATTCATTGTTTAAGCCATTTTTGCATGGAGTTTAATTTGAAATGTTACATATGATTTCAAAATGCAAAATCTAAATATCAAAACACATAACAATAAAAAAAATAATAAACACTGGTTTTTAAATGTAACTTTTTCCTGAATACATTTTTTAATAGCATTGACCAGGGTGATTAATATAATTAAAATCAGGTATAATTAATGCATGAAAATGCGTAAAATCCCCATATTGTGTATCTTTGATTCCGCGAAATTGGGCTTAAGCAGTATAATTTCCCTGTAAATATTAAAAAAAAATGTAGCGCATATTCGTTAAGTCAACGTTTACAAGACGGTTTCAGGATTCGAGAAAGTTTCGATGCCACATATACCCGGCTGTCTTAATCGTGTTATTTTGAACTCTTTAGACACAAAAAATATACTCTCCTCCCAAGACACTGACGTTGATAAAACATTATTTGTTGCTTTATGCTTTATTTGTTTATTGGTTTGTTTTTAGTTTTTTTTTTTTACAGAATGTTGCATGGGATATACACTCAATTTCGAAGATTTAACAATATCTATATCGAGAACTTTTACGCGAACGTATGGATACATGTACTAGCAAATTTTGAGCAGTCTGTCTAACCTGTAAAAAACAATGAACCAGATATGGAATTATACATTGAAAAAAGAATATTGTATACACAAAAAAACAAGTTACGATAGATATTATGTTTTCTTTTGTTTAGTTTTTTCAGGAATGTCAATTTACTTCACTCATTCGCCTTGATAATATGTCATTTCCCTTATTTCTCTCACTGTTCCATTTTTTGTCTCTTCATGAATCTACAATGTATATGCAAAAAAAAAGAAGAAAATATTCATAAAAATTTTAATCAATTCAATATCAATAATAGTAAACATTAGAATACAAAATAAAAAGATTTTAGCGTGCAGATATATAACTTTATCAAAAAAAGCTGTCGAAATATTAATAAGCTTTATATGATGGAGGCATTATACGTACATGTCGTGCCTGTAGGTAACCTCCTTTTGGTATGTTTGGGAGTTGATGCGGCATGACGGCCATATTATTATATCTGTATAACTGGAGAGCACCATCGTTCTGTGGCTGTGCAGGGCCATTGTATTGGTTAACTGTGCCGTGATACCTGTGGTTTACTCCGTCATTATTTGTTTGCGTTTCGGAATCCATATTTCTTCCTTTATAAAACGATAAAATTTTATAAGAAGAGTTGCATTTAGATATTTAATTCCAAATAAATTATTAACATTATCTTTTCCCCCTAGATGATAGATATAAGGAAAAGCATAGAACTCAGAGTCAATGTTCAAAAAGAAATGTATGTATTAAAGTTATTACAACACGTGTATCAATCGAACATATGTTTTATATCGAGTGTATATGAAAAGTGTCGGTCTGATTGGTTAAAGTATTTACAGCACACCTGTTCTAAAGGTATTCTGTTAACAGGTCTGGACGATTTCCAAATATGGAAGTCAAGAAGGATAACTGAAAGTTGCTATAAATGTACATCATGTACACGTAATGATTTTTCTGTCCAAAACATATCTTTAAAGTGACTATATCAGTCAAAATCATGGTCTCTTTTCAGATATTTGTAGCAATTATATAGAAAGAATGATGAAAATTATGAATATGACAATTAATTTGCAAGGAAAGACTGCACAATATAAGTGACGGAAAAACAAAGGTTGTATCTATCGTTTCGTTTTTTTCGTGTATGTCAAAGTCACGTCACTCTTATTTTTAGCTCAAATTTGTAAAATAACATTCAACTGGAGCATTCAAAGATGAGAAATATGTTCTTAAAACTTTTTAAAAAGATTCCTTGAAATGTTTTGGTCTACTACTACAATCATTCTATGTTCTTGAGACCATCGTAACTATGGAAACTTATTCAACTTTTCTGCGCACGCGTACATTTGGGAGGAATAAGTATTAAGCAATATTTTCGGTATGGGGCATACAGAAATTATTTTTACTTTTATTTTTTCCCTTGAAATTAGAATTTTTAGCTTCTGAAACCTGTTATTTTCTGAAACCTAATACTTTTAGGAAATGAACAAAATTAAATTTACTCTGTTCATGCAAAAATTCTACATTTGTCGATTTTCCACTTTGAGCGTCACAGTGTCTCCTTAAAAAGCAAACGGAAAACACGTGCTTTTTTTTTTTTTTTTCCTCAAAATGAATTTTTTAACAACAATTTTTAGAAGTAAGATGAAATCTTCTGAAGAATAAGTATTCCTCACCTATTTACCGTGAACAACTTTGACATTTTTATTTCGGTAAAAAAAATGCATGATACAATGTAATTGTTTACGGAGGAATAAACCACACCAACTAGTTCTTATCAAGTATTATAACATTTACCAGAATATACTACAGTGTATATCCCAGAAAACAGCATGTTATTGGACCATTGATGGTCCAACAATGCTCCTTATGTTGGGCCACCTTATGCATTTAACATTGGGCCAACGGTAATTTGCTCATCAGCCCTTAATCAGACCAACTTGTTGGCTTATTGTTGGGCCAATTTAACAGACAATATTGGGCCATTGTTGGGCCAATGTATTCTTTCAATAGTCGGTAAACATCATTTTTGGGCCAATGTCGGTTTGTATTATATTGGCTCTCCATCAGGACAACTCATTTGCTCTTCACTGTTTTTGAATACTTGATTTGAATACGCAAGTTCAGTAAACTTCGGGTATTAATGAGAACGTCTAAAAAGCCATCCTTTACTAAAACAATGCTAAAATAAATCTCGCCATAAAGCCTACTTAAACAAAATCATGTTTCTAGCATCTGCAACGTGTTTGTTACCGACAAACAGACACTCAAAGGGTAGAACTAAGGGTATGCCACAGTATTAGATAACAGAAAAAAGTTAGGTACTGTCACTTTCCAACTAATCCCCCGAGTCTCCTCTTCCTCTCCCTTTTTTCTTCTCTGTCCATTTCTTCCTCCTCCATCTCTAGATCTGTCCTTGGAACACCTTAGCCATTCTTTGATAGTGTTCTCAATGTCTTTGTTTGTAGAATCTCCAGTAGCTCGTTTTTCTCAACACTTTCTAAAATTGCATTATTTCATACTTAAATACATTTATTACTTTTTTCAATAAAGAGTAAGCATACGATTAAATTTACAAGTAAATCACTATATCTTTAAACTGTCAACATGGTCAATTAAGGGATATCCGTCTAATTACTAGCATTTGGTTTCATGATGTGATTACGTAATTTGTTTGCGTGATGATCTGCATTATCGCTGAAGGCATTTATGCATAAAATTATCACTCAAACCAATCGATTGATCATTATCATGAAACCAAAAAATCTGACAATTATTCCTTATATTTACATGCTATTGACTCTTCTAATTTTAACCACCTCCCCCCGATTTAGATTGTCGCCCATATAAATTCAAGGTAACGTATTCAACGTAAATTTGATACAATGAACAAATTTTAAATAAAACCACCTGATTTATGTTTTAGTATTGAAGAAATTTTGTTTTAACTTCAACATTTTCAACATGTTTGACCATGTGATCGACAGTGTTGACCCTACAAGAAAGCAAACGTATTATAAATACTTACATACTGGATGCAGATGTGCAAGGTATCGGTCTCAGTAGGCTCGTTTCACTTGAAAAATTGCGCGGATATTATAAGTTGCCCGGATGATGTCTGCCAATGATGCTCAGCCAGATTCATGGTATTGGGACAACTTAGGGCCATGCCATTCCCCAACAAATATTCTCTCTCATAACAACAGTTTTATGATATAATGCCAACAGTCAGCCCAACATTGGCCAAATGATCCATTACCAACAATCAGTATTCCATGTTGTACCATTGTTGGCCCCATAAAGGTAACCCAACAGCAATAATACAACCATAATGTAAGATTGGGCCAACGATGTGCTGCTATCAAGGATGTTGGTAAATACAATCTTGCTTAATACCCATTCAATTTTCATCGATGATACTTAAATTCCATGTGTATACATCCAACTCACAAAAATGTTACTCATATGGACTACATAAAGTTTAAAAATATCACGGATTTCAAAAGCGCCGAATACTAAGCTATGCTGACTTTAAATTGGCAAAAAAGGCGTACAACGCGGAGAAAAGAAAATGATTATACATGAATGAGTTTTATACCAATATCTTACCTTGCATACCAGAAACTGCATGGACGGTTTTGTTATGAACACTCAAAATATAATTAAGACCATTATCCATTCGATAAGATTTCCATGTCAGGTTTTTAAACTTGAAACTTTCCGTATTTATATAATTTTTACTACGAAAGTTAATCTTTTGGGATTGATACCTCCTAGTGACATATTTTTAATCCCACTTAAAACATTTTCTAAGCTTTCAAGTCGTGTTTGTTCACGGTAGAATTGTCATAAATATCATATTATTCCTAAATATGCATAAAGTTAATAAAAATATTGTTCCAAAAAATCTTTTACATTTAGATCTTACATACGCTAAAGCTTGCATGCTTTCACCAGCTCTGGGCGATTTCCAAATAAGGTAGGCCTTTCAACTGCCGCTAGGGTTTGCTGTTATGAACGATAACTCGTTGCTGAAACTTGTTTAGAGCAAGTCCAAGGTATCTAACTGTTTATAAGCAAGTCAGTTTTTAGCATTTCCCAAGTGTTTCTTTGCTGTCAATAGAATCCAGTGGTTTTAAAATTTAGCACTAATGTTAAACTTATTTACTCTATAGTTGTGGACATCGTTTAATTAGATATAAGTAAAATTTTTAATTAAAATAAAAAGTGAAATCTACCCTCCTTCTTAGTTCTAACCTGATAAAATGTTTATACTCGGTCGTTCTTCTTCGTGCTAGGTAACACAAATAAGATGATTGATTGTTGCATTTACTTGTAAAAATATATATATTCATATAGGAAGCGCAAAAGTGCGCACCAAAAAAAAAACACGTTATTATATTTCCTTCCTAATAGCAATCGTCAAAGAGAGTTTAAAATATTGAAATATAGTCTGTTCCCGATTCAGTTGACCCATTTCAGGTAGAGTGAAGACATTCTCCTTCTCTTGGTCAACGCTTTTGTGTACAAAACAATGTAAGGAACCCTTTTGTGTACATAACAATACCAATGCTGAAGCAGCCTATATGTCATTCTTATAAACGATAACTCATAAATCGGCACTTCATTGGTCATTTAATTTTCACCCCTGAGTTACCTGTCCTTAAAACACAACATCGTACAATTCAATTATGAATAATTAAACTTTTAATAATTTAATCAAATGTATGCATAAACTATTATCTTTTTTTGATAATTTCATGTACTTATAAATCTGTCTATGAAAAGTCTTTTACTATATGTGCAACTTGAAAAATTAGTTGAAAGGCCTACTAAATGCCATTCGAAGGCTCTTTCTTAGTGCAACCAGACATATCGATCTCCACCACCCTCACAAGTATCATCTTTGTTTTCTTTAACTGTATGTTTTTGTTTTGTAGATTGTATGAGTTGTCATGAAGGAAAGTTGGAAATGTATATTTTGTATATAATATTAAACTGCACTTAATTAAGAGAGCGCTTCTGTATTATATACGTGTTGTTATTTATTTTAGTAATTATTTAAGTTCGTTTGAATGGAAACGAATAAGAACATACCAGCTCTAGATAAGGACAATTTTTTAAAGAAGAAATTGATTTTTAAAATTGTAGATTATACATGGATTTTGTTCAATGCGCATGAATTCTTTAAGAGCGTATTGTTTTTTTTAAAATAAGTACCTAGTGTTATCAATCATATAATACTTGCAAGAAATAAATATCTAAAGAGGCAGAAGGAAGAAAGATTCATAGCACTCCCTACTTTTGAGACGGGGTCACGTTGACCCTGTCCATTATTAGACTGGGTGACGGAGTCACGTCTATTAGTTTACTGTCAGGGCCCTCAAAACGGAAGCCGTGGTGATAACACATGAATTAAATCTACGCTATTTGAAAGAGTTCAGAAATTGTTTTGATCAAAATATATACATTCTGTATCAAACTTAAAAAGGTGATATGAACGTTTTCTAAATCAAATTAATGAAGCATTTTGAAAAAGTATACTCAAAATATTAATTGTAAAACACACTAGTGAACAAAGTATTACGACTGCGCTCGCATCATCCATAAGATTATTTACTTCCGGAAAAAAAAATTCAGACCAGATGAATACGGACTGTTCAAAAAGGTTTCTAGACTTATCAGCTGTTGAAATTTCTACTTCAAATTAAATGAAAAATGCGAATTTATATTCTTCCTCATCAAAGACTCCTGGTCTAACCTCTAGAATAACTTTGTACCCAGTTCACAGATTTTTATTGTTTCTAGATTATTTGAAAGAGGTTACTGTTTGTTTCATCATCTATTTCATTGCTATTCTTAAGATGAAAGGTCATTGTATTTTCTGCTTCTTATCTAAGTTAAAAGTGCATTTCTCAGTAACCTATTCACACCTCTTAACCCTCACCTGTACTCGACGTTGGGTGGAAACAGAATAGCTGGCACTTTTTACAAAGAGCTAAGCTGCCCCCCACAGTAATTAACGCTACGATCCCAACAACAATGCCTGCAATGGAGCCACCGCTGAAAACATATTTAACCAAGATAAAGAAGATAATGTATTGGAAAGTTTAATATTCTTAAAACAAAGATAATATTTGAGATAAGTATACTTTTCTTAATTTTCTTACCTTATTGTTGTATCTGAAACAGGACGATAGAATTGATGTGAAATAGAAATGATTTTTTTTTTCAATTTAACAATAAATTATTATTTTAATATATTGTAAAAGTTACCTTCAGAAGACGCCAACACTGGATCAAAGCAGAGAAAAATGCAAGCAAGCAAGCAACCTGAAGGAAATTAAATGAAAACATAGGATATATCAGTGGTTTTGAAAATATAGAAATTTTAGAGTTGCATACGTGCCTTTCATATTCATTTTATCATAAATACATGTAAGAGGGGGCAAAAAATGAAATATTTATTTTTTCAACACATGAAACTCTTAGGTGTTTCATTTATGTACATGTAGTAGTAGAGTGTATCACCTAACGAATCAGTTTAAAGGAAAAAGTATTAGATTTTAAGAAAAAAAACATATCAAGTGAAATAAATAAGAATATATCAGTTAAATGCCAATAAGTTTAGATAAGAAACAACATATATTAAAGGATACGAATCAGTGCTGGTTAAGACATTTTAGTGGGTTTTCTTAAGGTTTGAAAGTATGAAGTCAACATTTTTTCGGGAATTTGTAATGACAAAACAATTGGACAACCTAAGAGGAAGAAGGTAACATAAATCGATGGACAAAAGGTAATCCCCCCAATAATAATTTAAATTCCTTTGAAAAATACGATGCTCTACAGATACATGAAAGTTTTCCCAGTCGATTGGAAATATCGACGGTCAAAGATATAGCATACTTCATCGGAATAAGACTCACAACTTTTCTCAAATCCAAACAAAAAACTATTGGCGATCGTAAGAAAATGCACCCCGATATTCGTCCCTGTCATGATTTTCAGCATCTCAGAAGAGCTAATAGGGCTCCGAGAATAATATTTAACGATAGACCTAAACAAGCTGCTAACATTACGTACATGTACTTGTACCTGAACATTAACTGTCAATTAAAAAAAACACACCGTACCCTATTTAAGAAATAAGGTATCATTTTTTGAGTTTTATTGGGATGTAAAACGGGTTGGCACGTGATCAAATCTTCCATAAAGCCCGAATGGCATGTATGTAATCCACTGAACGCGCGTCGACCCTTTTTGACGTCACTGAGAAATTACGTCGAACGTTTATCAATACGAACACCTATGACCTCTTGTACCCTTACCTTTATTCATACAGTTATATAAAAAACGCTTGCTTTCAGTAGGGTTAAAAAAAGGAAATCATTTGCAAATGTAAATATAAAAAGATGAAGATTGAATTGCATAAGGTTAAAAAATTATCATTTTGACAGGCTGTTTTTGTGTAGAGAGTTGATAACGATCATAAAGTCTAATGGTAATTATTGGGGTTTTTTTTCATGCTACATGTATTAATAATTGATAGTTATATGAACATTATTTACACACTTTGTCTATGGGTTTTTATGTTTGCCCGATTATGTCAAATAGCAAGTGTGATATCTGTATTCGATTCCGAAGGATCAAAATCTAAAAGACATGCATAAAGACATTGGGGAAAGATGGGGCTTTAAGATTTGGCAATATAGACTAGAGAAATTTAATAAAAACCCCGCTGGTGGAAAAAAGAGATTCTGAGCGTTTTTTAATTTAGATACTGGATTATTTTATGTGCTCTTAAATGCGGGCAATAATGAACAACTCAGTTCGTATGTACATGTACCTGAAGCACATTTGCAGCTTTGTTCTGCAGCCATTAAAATGATAAAGCGAGTGTTTGTGAATAGAGCATTTATTACATTACAAATGCCAAATAAAATGAAAAATTTTACAATTTCAGAATGCAGCAGAAGGTGGGGTGCAAAAAATATCCCACACCTTCAACACAAGAAAATCAGTAATCTGAACAATAATAAAAATGTGCATGGAGGTTTGAAGGGGAGTGGAGGAGGGTAAAATTTTAAAACCACGTTTTTTGGAGCCAAGCGGAATTATGGATATGGGTTAGGCTAATAGCCGTAAATAGAGGGCGCTTGGAAGCTATAACCCGGAAAAACCCCTCAAGACCCAAACATTCATACACATTATTAGTAAATCAAAATACAAAAACTTTGAGCATTTAGATCCCATAAATTCCTTTATATACATAAATACACATAAGTAAAGTGTTACCAAACTCTTGATTTAAAAAGAAAAACAGAACAGGGAACCGATAAAGAAATTCTCCAATACTTAAATCATTTCTGCATTACGCTGTACATGTTTGATAAGAATTTAAAATAACACCGGGATTTTCACGTGAACAGTCAAACGGACATCAGAGAATGCATTCCACCTCATTCTGTTTTGATGGTCCTGTAGATATAATCACCTGCGATGCATGTCCGACGATTATCACCCATCTCTATCCGTCAAAGTTGTAGAGAAGGGAATCCAAAAACTTCCAGAACACTTTGTACAACCTGAAATTATACCCCCCCCCCCAAAAAAAAATGGTAAGTTCAATTCATATCATAAAGGAAGTTCCATTTAATGAACATTAATTTTGTATGATAAACATTTATAATTAAGTTTTCCGTTGGTAATGATTATATTCCTGTAGGAGGTGTTGAAGTTCTTTTGTTGTTTTCCCTAAATGTGTAGCAGATTACAAGAATTATTTTGATGTTGCAAAAACTCATATTTTTTTTAATGCAACAATATATAAAGCACAAGGAGAAACAATATTTGGAAGGTGTGTATTGACTTCCAATTTTCCATTGATTGATGTGAAAATTAGTCTCCTTTTTTTAAATAGGGAATCCTCATTGTTCTGAAAAAGTGCCTCTTTGAAACAGAATAATTTTGATGTATACTTAAAGAGGCAGGAATTTTCTTCAAAACTGCCATTTCCGATTTTTGTTTCAAAGAGGCAATTTTTTGAAAAACGCAAAAATTGAATTAATGTTATTCTCCAAACGAAATGCAAAATGTATACATTAAATAACATTGAAAAACTGTCGTATCCGATATGGTCTAGTGGATATGCTGGTGAGCTTCCAACCAGTACTTTTACTAGGGATTGGGTTCAAATCCTTGAATGGATCATTTCTGAATATTTTTTCTTATTTTTTTCCATATGTAGTGCAATGAAATTATACACATTTTGTTTTGCTGTATCAAGCAGGAAATACCCGCCGTAAACATAGTCCTCTACGTAACTGTATCCATATTTAGAAATAACGAGGGTATTTAAATGTCCTCGATATGTAGGGAATAATCGCGAGTTTCTGCAACACCCTCTTTTTATTTCTTTAAAATAGAACCGAGCTTATATTCCTATATGTTGCATTGTGTACATTCAAATATTCAAATCAATTACTGTTGAAAAAAACAGAAATAAATGAACATATTCCACCGTTCTGATTATTTGTTTGTGATAAAGTTGGCGTCCCTCTGAGAATTTTCTACTCATATTGAAACGTCACCACTTATCGGTAGAGGGCTTCAAATTTAGACCTTACTTGGTACTTAGATCCTTTGTACATTGAGGGATCATTTTCTTATGTACACCAACTGTGACATATGGGATCTTGATTTATACACCAGGCTCATTCGAAGGACGGGTCTTCACAGTTGGTTCGAAATTGCGATGTGAGCAAAACCTACTTGCTCTAAAGCAAACCACTGCGCACCGTAATATTTTATTTTGGTGAACATGTACCATAACACTGGCACCAAAAACCAACTAGATGCTGTCATGAGACAGTAATACCCGCACTAAGGTGTTTGCCTCTAAATGCACACTCCTCTAAAATTGGGCTTTACCAAGGAAAAAGTCAATATAATTCAATAATTCACATAATAGGGCCTCCATGTATTCATCAAATTGAACATAATATTCTCAAGTGAACATGTGACCCATGGGCCTCGATCTTATAGGTACATGTATTTCATATTCGTAATTCATTACCAGTCTGAAATTAAACAACAGAATTCAATTAATGATGTAAATTAGGTTTGAAACAAGGGGGGGGGGTTATAAATTTTTGGCCCATAATTGGAACTTTTTAAATCTATTTTCTCATATAGATCAACAACAAATATTATTCAAATTAGTGTAAAGCGTTTTTGATGATTTTTAAAAAAATGTACAAACTTTTTTATATTTGATTAGGCAGAAACACCTTGAAAGCTGCCATATACCATGTATAGTATTGTATACCCAATCAATTTAGTCAACCCCCACCCCTCTCCCATCAACACACACACACACAAACACACCCTATTTTCCTGTTTTTGGAAATAGGCCTAGATGGCAAAGTTAAGATAAAACATCTTTCGTAAATAATAATTTTAAATTTGTTCTTATACTGTAAATGTATCTGAAGACCTGCATCACATTGGGCTTGCGTCACGTACCCAACTTAAGTACTAGTTTTACCATGATCATTTTTAGATAGCACTGCACGTGCAGTACTAGGCCTAGTGTTGTGTTCACATCATTGCATGTATGTCAGTAGGAATTATTTTGCGTTTTAATTGGATTATATTTCATGAAGTTGGAGCTATGGCAGTTGGTAAGTACACGTTTTGGTATAGATTTGGGTGAAATAGTCTGAAATGCAACTGGTTAGGTTAAAGTTTAAAGGATCAAAGGTCATCCGATGCTGCAATAAGACGAATTTCACATTCTTAAGAGTTATCGCCCGTTATCGATGTTACATTCAGTTACAAGATACAGAATTTTTTTTTCTGGGAGGGAGGGGGGATTTCCAGACCAGAATTTCCTGAGAAGCAAATAAAAGTTATGGTGGTTTCTGTTTTCTAGGGTGGAGGGCATCCAAAGTCTTTTTTATATTATAGTCCTGCAAATTTGGGGGGGGGGGGGGTCTCAAAATACACTTCCAGTCCCTGTAAACAGTAATGGCAAATGATCATGTGACTCCTAAATAGTAG